GAGAAAATATATGCAAAAGTGCCTGGTCCTTGGGAATGACTCAGAAAATATCATCAATAAATGAAGTCCCACCTATTGTTTGCCAGTTGAACTCTTAGAACTATTCTCCTATTGTTCCCCTAGTCCTTCTCCGTATCTCCTTAGAGTGGTCTCATGGTCCCTGCTTCTCAATTCAGCTTCTCAGCCCTTGACTCTTAGAATGACCAAGGATTCTACTACTTGTATTTGAAAGCTTATCATTCTAGTATATGCTTAAATATTACTCAGAGAACTTTTCACTCTCTCATCCTATCCTCACAACTTTACAGATGACAAAACTCAGGATCTATGGCATTTATTTAATAAGTAGGGCCGCAAACTACAATTCAGGTTTTGTCACTTTTGGTTCTTTTCACAAACTACCAGTAATCCAAAGCTGTATTTTGTACCATAAAGCCCAAAGCACTCTTCAGGCATTTATAAAAATTTCCCCTTGTCTTTGGGCTTATAAAAATGGGTCTGGGAGAAAAAATTTTGAATGTTTTCTCTTGAGATGAGTCCTCAGCAGTAGGACCTGGAAGAAAAGCAGCTTAAACAAGATGAAGTAAAAAATGACAGCAGCATTAAATGGTGCAGCAGATCCAGAAAAGTAAAAGTGGCCCTTCCTAGCCACTTTCAAGGGACTGTAGGGCCAAAGTGATTTCCATAATAATGCTAAAACATTACCTTTTTTTCCTGCATTGTATTCATATGTACACTATAGTGCCAAAGTGATGCTGAGTGAAGCTGCTGGTGCTTTTGCAAAGAGCAGAGCAGTGGCTCCTAACTACAGTAGAAGTCCTTGTATTCTTCACCATCAAACACTTCTAATAATAATTTAAAGCCAGTTTCATTTAAGAAAGTCCTTTAATAAGGCAGTACTCAGAGAAATGGAAAATCATTACTTTAGAGCACTTGTGCTACGTACTGAGTGTGACAGTTGTCTCAAGAAAAAGACTTGTGGAATTAAGTTGTGAACTAAACTAGCTGTTTGTTTCACAGGACACCAGTTCTACTCCAGCAGACTCTGGTTATGTGGACTTTAGTATTTAGCGCACATTTTTCAATTCAAGAAAAACAGCTAACAGTATTTATTGCTACTGATAAAATTCGAGCTTTCAAACAAAAACTGGAATGTTAGCATGTATCTGCTACTTTGATACAACAACTTCATAATTTATGGGATGGTGTTAACAATGGTGATGTTTTCATTTTGTGTGATGAAATGTGTCAACATTAGGAAGATCTACATAACTGTAAACCAATATCCTATAAACGACCAATGCACGCTATTTCAAAATTATTCAAGATAAGTGCCCAGATGCATCAATGGACCTTAACATAACTGAGTACAAAAAACTGATAATGTTTCAGATTCCATAGTGCAACTATAATGTTTAAAAAACTTATACTTTATGCCAAGTGTTGCTGTAATTTCAAAGAACACCACAAGTACCTGAAATCCCTTTTTCAATTATCTGGTGAGAGGCTGGACTTCCTTCATATATTTCAATCAAATAACATTTACAAATAGACTGAATGGAGAAGCAGATATGAAAATCCAATTAAAATCTCAAGTCAGTCATTAGATTTGCAAAAATGAAAAATAATGACATTCTTTTTCACTGATTATTTTGGAAAAGTCATTTTTCATTAAATTGATATTAATTATTCATGTAATGGGTTTGCCATATTTAAAAATGTTAGTCTTAATTGCAAATATAGTAAATATTGGTAAATACAGCCGACAGAAGCAAAACTTCTTTGGAGTCCTCAATAAATTTTATGAGTATAAAGGTGCTGTGTGTGGTGGTGCACGGCTATAATCCCAGTCACTCTGGAGGAAGAGCTTAAAAATTTGAGGCCAGCCTGGGCAATGTAGGGAGACCCTGTCTCAAAATAAAATTTAAAAGGGGCTGGGGGGTAGCTCAGTGCTTGCTAGTATGTGCAAGGTCATGAGTTCATCCCTAGTAGGGGGGGGAGATAAAAAGAGCATGGTAAAGTGGTCCCTAGGCCAAAAGCTGAACTGTGGCAATAGCTGTAACACCCCCTTCTGGCAAGGCCTGAAGTCACTGCTTCTCCTGAAATCCAGCAGCTAACAAATTGTTCCCTCACTCCTGTCCAAATAATTCTCATGGAGAAAGAGCTGGGAGGGGAGAGGGATTTTGAGACAGAATTAGGAGTTCTACTATTGGGGAGCAGTATAGTGTTCCTCAGTGGCCTATCTTAAGAACATAAACCAGAAGTTACTGGAGTTGGCACTTATAGTATACTGGATGATCAAAGGATTACTTCTAGTATTTTGTTGTTCATTTGTGACTCTTTAGAGCTGTTTCTTCACAGCTTGTTAATAACCCCTATTATTTTTTCTTCAGTAACACTTGTTCCCCTTACAGGGGAACTATACTGCTGGGCTCACTGATGTTTAGGCCTTGGCCTTAAAGTAGTATTGTGGATAGCATGATCCTTGATAGTTGGGATTTTGTTCAGCTTAAGTCACCTGTGGGAGCTGAATCAAATGCAGATCAAAGAATACTGTGAGGTAGAGCTTTTTTCTCACTAGGACTATTCCTCATAGTTCCTTGTTTGAAATCAGTTTCCAGCAGGAAACTGAACCAATTGGAAGCTCTCTCCCCTCACCTGCCTTCATCTTTCCAACACGTTTCATTTTCTTAATGATATCAACACATGATACTTACTGAAATTTTAAGATTATTAAATAAATTTAAGATAAACTTGAGATTGGAAAATCTCACCCTGTCCCCCCCCACCCTTATGTTTGTAGATTTTAAACGGAGGGACTCCAGACATTCCTTCCAGTGGCCTACTGCCAGGGCAGGCTCAAGAGAACCCAGGTTATCCATATTCTGATAGTTCTTCTATTCTTGGTAAGTGGCATTATTATTCACTTCTATTGCAATGAGCTTGCAATACACCTGACATAATGTTTTAAGAACTGATTGTACAAGACAAGCTAGTTCTAGATAAATTTGACAGGAACAAAATAAATATTTAAAGTTTGTTTAAAATAGTTCAAAGTGGACTTTAATGATTGTATTTTGGTGGGGATCTATATATGTCTACAACAGCCTAGACATATTTTTTTTCTCATATGTGGGGCACAATCTTCAGAGGAAGAGGTTCAGAGGTAAAGCCTTAAAGAGTGATCAATAAGAACCAGGGTGATAAGTCATTAAGTGATAACAATTATTTCTCCCATTGCATCCTCTTCTTGATCTCTTTTTTTCTACATTCTCCTTTCCTATTTGCTATTCAGTCTGTAACTTTCCCTTCTCCCCTTAAATAGTTATCAGAATATTAAAATGAGGTGAACGCAAACATCATTTATGTAATTTTAAGCACTTTGCTCTCATTTCTAAAAAAGTTGGTCCTTTCCTCTGATAAACAGCAAAGTTGAATAAATGTATGAATGTATATATGCTTATGGCAATAGAGCCCCAAAGCAGCCTCTCTCACCTTACTTTTAAATATAATTTTCTAATTAAATGTTGCTTAGAAATTGCTTACTAAGTCTAAAAACACTTTGGAATTTATAAAGTCACTGACTAGTCTTTATCTCCACAGGTGAAAACCCCCACATAGGCATAGACATGATAGACAACGACCAAGGATCAAGTAGTCCCAGTAATGATGAAGCAGCAATGGCTGTCATCATGAGCCTGTTGGAAGCAGATGCTGGGCTGGGTGGCCCTGTTGACTTTAGCGACTTGCCATGGCCGCTGTAAACACTACGTGTTGCTTTGGCAACAGCTACAGTATCAAAGTGCATTACTGGTGGAGTTTTACAGTCTGTGAAGCTTACTGGATAGGGAGAGAACAGCTTTTATGTACTGATCTCATAAAAGCCATCTCAGAGCCATTGATACAAGTCAATCTTACTATGTGTAACTTCAGACAAAGTGGAACTAAGCCTGCTCCAGTGTTTCCTCATCATTGATTATTGGGCTAGCTGTGGATAGCTTGCATTAATTGTATATTTTGGATTCTGTTTGTGTTGAATTTTTTAATCATTGTGCACAGAAGCATCATTGGTAGCTTTTATATGCAAATGGTCATTTCAGATGTATGGTGTTTTTACACTACAAAGAAGTCCCCCATGTGGATATTTCTTATACTAATTGTATCATAAAGCTGTTTATTCTTCCTTGTAAGAATCCTTTACTATAAATATGGGTTAAAGTATAATGTATTAGACAGTTAAATATTTTTAATAAATGTTTCCCTTGTTCTATAAATACTGTTCCCACTTCAAATATTTATTAAGAAAAAAAATTCCTACATGCTGCAGGTCTGTATCATTAATTCCAATAGTGGATATTTAAAAACTATCCATGCCAGTAACATTTGCAATGCCTTTCTGATCTTCATAACAACTCTGGGACTTACACAATTCCCCCTTGCTACTAGCTTAGATGTATTATGAAAATAATTTCCAAACTGTGGCCATTTCTATTTAGTGAGAACAAAAGTGTTACTGCTTACACACATATCAAATCCTCTGTCTGAATTTCAGGATCACATGTAAACAAACTGGCTTCTCCACTGCTGCCCCTACTTGCAGTAATATGGCTTCAAACATTTAAGTGATTCCAGAACCAAACCACCTAAATAGTTCTGATTCCTTCTTGAATTAGACCACCAAATACTTAAAAGAGCATTTGCATGAATAATTTGCTAAACAGAGCAGCACAGCATAAAGGAAAAAGCATTTAACTAGTATCAGAAACTGGCTCTGAAATCCAGTTACCACACGCCTTACTAAGGTTGGATGAGAAAATGCTCTCTTTAGTTCTGAAAAGATTTATAGTATATTTTATAATTAGTAGGAAATTTAAGTACCTCATCACACATATACCAAATTGAATTCCTTGTGCTACTATTTGATTTCTAGTTGTACTTACAGCAATAAGACAGACAAACATGAATTATGAGACTAAAAATCTGGTCAAGGTGTTTATAAATTTGGTCAGAAACATTAAAACAATGGAATTTTATTTTGATGAAAAACTTGAGTTTACAATCATTTAGTAAATGAAGAGCAAACACTTCATTTTCCTATCCCATAACTCTTAAGAAAAGAAAGCATTAGTAAATAAATATCTGTGAACAGATTAAGGGTAAGGCAGACCGGATAATAAACCACCTCTGATGTTCACACTCCCTGCATGTGACTCACTCTAAACAGGTGAAACGGCACTGGAGGTAAGTGAACTGATAAGATATGAGCATTGAATCTCATCCTAATCATTCAAATAAGCCCAAGACAAATACTTTTTAGCTCATCCAGGGCAACAAACTATACACATTTTACTGAAGGAATACTCTGATAGAAGCACTTATTTATGTTACACTGTGCATCGTAACTATAAAATGGCTTGAACAGTTCCATTTAACCACCATTTATAAAGTGCAACCATATAATATTCTGCATTTTATCTGGGGTGTGATGAACATCAATCTAGACTGAAAGTACCCCAGCTGCCAATTTCCACCACTTCTGAAAAGATCTAGATGTGTGAAAAAGGACTGTCCCCCATACAAAGAACCAATTTCACAAACCTACTGGTAAACAAATACATTTATATAACTGGAACCTCAGGATGCTAGAGTTGTACTCATTTAAAAAACCATTCAGCTACCTTTGGTCTTTAAAAAAGCCTACACTGCAATGTCCTAAAACGTTATGTGCATCTCACAATGAAGAGTAGCCTTGCAGTGCAGAATGAGGAGAGTACAACGTCACTGTGAAGAGTAGCATGCTATGGTTTTAAGGAACATCAGCATCACAGCATTGGATTCTGTGCATCAGGATCGAGGTCATTGTTGCCAGAAGCAGGGTGAATGGGAAGGATATCCAACTCATCCACTTGCGGAGTTGGGTGCATGACAACCAGCTGGTCCTGGGGAATGTCTGCAGCAGCTGCTGCCAAGTTGGTGATAGATTTACTCTTTACACACTGAAAGTCTACATGTCGGCTCTTTCCTTCTTCCTTCTCCCATGACATTCGGATAAAGGGTCTTTGGACATAGTTGTAAATAACTTCTGGGCGGCCCCCAGGTCTTTTCTTTACTTTTTCTTTGTAGGTAGGATAACCTGGAGGAAAGAAAGGTTTTAAAACTGAGGATACACACACACACACACACACACACACACACACACACAAATGCACGCACATACCCACAATTTCTCATCCAATATAGCCTATGAGAGCTTATTTGGCACAGATTCTGAATAAATGGAAATTAAAACAAGGGAAACCAATATTCCATCCATCTAGCCATTTGATTCAACAGCCAGAAACTAAAGTCCTATTGATGTAATTCCCAAAGCTTTCTACCATTCTTTCAGTTATTCAATAAATCAACCACCAAAAACATTCTTAAAGTGGGACTATGAAGGAGATGGGTCTCTAGTACAATGGTATATAATCTGGAGCAGATCTTGGGCTCTAGCAGTAAATGTCAAGAGTCATATTTCAGACATAATTTCCATTGAAACTGCTCAACTCTGTCACTATGAAGTAAAATCAGCATAAAGAATACACAAATGGTTCCAATAAAACTTAAAAAAATTACAAACAGGTAATGGGCTACATTTGGCCCATGGATCCAAGTCAGACTATAGTTAGAGAGAAAAGAAAAAGAAAGGCCTTATATAGCAGAGTAGTAAATAAAGCTAAAAACCTCCTAAAGATCTGCAGAATGTCTTCTTTGTTTCAGCTTTCATTCTACCATCATCTAAAGCATAGATCAGAAATGTTTCCAACTCCAGTCCCTTGTCCTTGATTCCTCCTGGACTATTAGAAAGTCTTTAAAATAAATTCCAATCTCATTGTATTCACTGTCCTGCACACAGAATCACCTCTCTACACAAATGTAATCACATTGCATCCTTACTTAAAATCTACCTTTGGTTTCCTTATGTTTCAAGGGGAATTCCACACTCCTTAGCACAGTATACAAGGTTTTTACAACCTTATTCCAACCTACTTAATTTCATCCTAGAACTCTCAAATGCACTGGCCATATTAACTCTACACTTTTCCCTGAATATACTTTGGTGCTTTTACACATAATTTACTGCAGCTGGTTCCCTCTTGGGCCCCCAAGCGCTATACTGCTGATCTACATACCCACCTCTCATATACTTTTTATTGAACAAAGAGAAGATTTTATTCAAGGTTTTATTAGTTTGTTAAATCTTTCATTGTTGTTGATGATGGACCTTTATTTTATTCATTTATTCATATGTGGTGCTCAGAATTAAATCCAGTGCCTCACACATGCAAGGGAAGTGCTCTATTACAAAGCCACCACCCCAGCCCAGTTTGTTAAATCTTACAGAGAACAAATTTCTGCTCCAGAACAAGACTAGGAAACCAGGGCTTCTATATATAGCTGAACTTTCAGTGAGATGAGCCAAGCCTACTTGTGTCTCGCTATTCCTGCTCAGAATGCAGAAGATAGAATAATTCATAATCTCATCTAAGTATAGACTTCATTACTCAGTCTTGAACTTCCTATATTCTAAGATAACTATACTTCAATAATATTACTTTATAGAGTTTTTTTCTTTAAATTTCAGACCCTGTTCAAAGTCTCCGTTGAGTACTCTGATGAAAGAAAGCTTTCCTGAGTTCAGGAAAGATTCCTAATGATAGAAGTAAGGCCATATCTAATAGGACTGCTAGATGGAGTAGTAGCCCATGCAGCCCTAATCTGCCTTTAGATTCTACCCTCTGAGGCTCACAGATATTCCATTAAGGGATGGGTGAAACAAACAAAACAAATTCCTAAGATGTGCCTTTCACTAAACTGTAATGTGAAGAGTGACTAGGCAGGGTTATTTATACTTTTCCACCCTCACTCCAGATACTTTGTTTAACAATATCCACCAAACCCCAAATCCTGCTTATAATTAAGCAGGTCTTAGATAACCTTGACTATAGCAATATCTGAACATAAATATGAATATGGTTATTATGGTATAAGAATATTTAAAAATATCCTTTCAGCATTATATTCCATTATCCCTTCTTAGGTACTAAAGTTCTACCTTCCCCACGTGTCTCATACACCAATCCAATTTAGCTCCCATGAAAGTCAACACATATAAAATTCTAAAATCAGACTTCTTTTGAGTGAAAGACTTGTCATTAGGAAGGCGGGCAGGTAAATTGGGAGGGTGATAACAAAATAGTTAACTTACAAAGAATCTGCATTTTTTTTCTTTGGTACCAGAAATATCTTATTTCTTCAGATGAAAAAATTAGAGACTTGATGGAAAAATATGGCTGGTAGTCTACACATTAATTTGGGAAAGAAAAGAATGTTTTGGATCTAAAAGCAGTTATGAAAGGAAGCCTGCTTAATTACTGTTTTGGCACAGTAAAGGCCAATTTATCCAAGGTTATAGTACATAGGCAAAAAGAGTTGCACACTGATTTTTAAAAAAATTCAATCTTACATAGTATTTCAAAACCATTCACAGATTCCAAAATCACAGAGGTCTGGATTCAAGTCCCAGCTCTGTTATTTATTTTCAATGATATACCTTTAATAGATTATTTAACCTTTTAAACATCAGTTTCTTCCTCTTAGAAACAAAGATAATGGTTGTGTAACCAAACAGCCTAATTCGAGAGGGGAAAGCTCTACAAAAGAATACCATTCTAACAAACATAAAAGGAACAACAGAATTAGAAAACGATCATTTTGCAATCTCTAATAAAATTACTGATTCAGGCATGAATTATCAAGTAGTATTTAAACCTTTAGATAATAGCAGGGAGCTGAATATTCTTATAGTCTCAAAATAATATCACACCAGGGATCAATTTAATCTTATAATAGAAGGCACAGACTGTCACTTTATTGATCACTTAATAAAGATTTAAAGTATGGCTTTAAATCTAATGTACAGTTTATAGGAATTATAGAAGAGGGAGAAATAAATGGAGGACACCAAAGGAAGAAGTAGGACAGATACAAAAGTGGGACAATTGTCTAAGACTCTTCAATAGAGCAGTGCCATAAATAACTATTTAAGATTGAGAGATTTAACAAGCAGTTAGTTATAAGATGTGGTCCTGGATGAGATCCTGGTTTGGAGAGACCAGCTGTAAAAGATATTTTTGGGAACCAATGGGGAACTATAATGTAGACTGGTTCTAAGGAATTATTATTCATTTTGTTGGGTGAAAAATTATTTTTAGAAAAATACTAAAATATTTTTTATAAGTGGACTATCATCACATATAATGTACTATTAAATTTATTTTAATAAGATTAATGATAAGTAGTACTTGCCACTAGGTCCTTATAACTACATGAAAATTCACTTAAGGGTTTAGCACCTCAGATACATTAAGCTAACTCCTACCTCAACACTTTTGCACTTGCTGTTTTCTTTGCCTACAACTGTCCAGCTAAACTCTTAATTTCCACTGTGATAGAAAAAGAAGTCCTCATTCTCAATATCTAAGTTACATGTAGCTATTATATAAATTATTCACTATCTGAGACCCTCCTACACACTAAGCACTAGCCCACATGATAGGTGTGCAATATGCAACTAGACTTCTCTCATGGAGCTCATAGCCCATGACTAAACACTATTATATGGTATACTGTTCTAAGGAGCACTTTCATCACTATGAAAGCATCAAAGCTTCCAAGAAGGTTTCAGAGGTTCTAAATTATAAATAGCAATAGTCAAAAAATAAAAGTAAAGTGGGAAGAAGGTCATTTCTAATAAACCTCATTTGATCATCACAACAGTCCTCTAAAATATACAGGATATTAGACCCATTACACTGATACAGAAAATGATACTCAGAAAGGTTGGGAGCCTTGCCTTAAGACACTTACTATGACCCACAAGACCTGTATCCTCTGACCATACATTACTTCTACCAACATTCATACCCACTGTATCTCTTCAAAGCTCTTCCTCACTTACTATTTGAGTCATATTTGTGGTTTTTGCGCCTCAGATACATTACACTCATTCCTACCTCAATACTTTTGCACTTGCTGTTTTCTTTGCCTACAACTATGCTTGTCACAGGCCTAAGCTCAAATGTCTCCTCCTCAGAGAGGCCTTCCCTATTCCTCCTAAGCTTAATTAAGTAGCTCTCAGTTGTCTTCTCTCCAGCTCTGACACCAGGCAGCTAAGTGCAAAATGACAGATGAAGACAAGCATGAGTGAATCACTTTCAGCAATTCGACTGCTTTTTAAGCCCGAATATCCTCCCCTTCCCACAAAACTCCTGTTTCTCATCATTCTTTCCACATATCTCAGCATCCTATTACTGTGATTTCCAGCAGCTCAATCAGGTCCTTAATATATACTAATATATTACAAACACACTGTGAACTTACCTCATTCCAGTTACTGTTTTAGGTACTTCTTGTATTAACTCATTTCACCCTTACAATAACCTTAAGGGTATATACTAATGCTCCCAATTTAGATGAAGAAACTGAGACACAGAGTTTAAATGCATTAGCCAAGATCATATAGCAATTAAATCATGGGATTTGAACACAAGTAATCTCATTCTGGAGTACTTTTTTCTATTTAGACTACATCTTGTTATGACAAGAAAGATATTTGTTCTTAATAAGGATATTTTAAATAAAAGCAGTATCTGATAAGGCAGATGGAAAAATTCATTTAAACCATAAAATAAAAAGATATATAAACACATTTAAATAAAATGAAAGAAGTTTTGTAATTTGCATTTAACTTAAAAATAAGCTATTATACCTTAAGATGACAGTAAGCTACTAGTATTACTGTTTCTAAAAAAATTTTCAAAAGTGGTTTTTAATTCTATTTGGCTTCAAGGATCACCACTAGATAAGCAACCCTATTGATGTTATGGGAATGTACACACAAGCATGCCCACACACACCACATGGATTTGTCAAATTCACTTTTTCAAAAGTGAATTAGAACACACTGTGGCAGAAAAGAAAAATCATATCACTATATCATTAGGTAATCTTATGAATAATATCTAATGGCCTTCTATTGGTCTTCTTAAAAGAAAGTTATGTAGTTCTGTTATTTATCTCTTTCCATAGCAATCTGTAATTAGTTGCTGAATTTTTTCTTAAACTATTCAGACTATATTCTAAACAGGATACAATTAAAAAAAATTAATATAAAATAATGAAAATGACTTACCTTCAATTCCCAATCTAATCTTCTTAAGACCCCTCTCCTTTAAAACTGATTTGGCCACATCTCTGTTTTCAATGTACTTGAAAAATCTATATAATTTTGTGCTATAAATAACTGAAACAAAAAAAAGACAAATATTTTATGTTAAAATCAATATACTTAGAAATGAACTTAAATTTATCTTAATCATCAAACAGGCCTGATAGCCCTAAAAACCCAAAGACTGGATGCACTAATGCCAAAGCATGACTAGCCAACATGACAGAACAATATTCAGTACAGTTAATGTAGAAGCAAATGTCTACATAAGTGGAAACAAGAAAAGCTTTGATAACCAATCAGATAACCCAATCCATAGGAAGAATCTCCTTCTGAAAGATACATCACATACACAGTTATTGGTATGGGATCTGCCCTAAGTTTCAAATAAGAGAACCAAAAGAAGATATCAATACATACATCATTATTGAGTAGGCAAAGTAAAGGACTTTGCTAGATGCCTTCAAGGGCTAGTCTGAAGAGGGAAAAAAATGCCTAGTCAAAGAGTACAAAACAGATAAATTTCACATTTCATGGATTGAGCAACTATTAATAACTCCCCAAAAGACAAAGACCCTCCCCACAAACTGTTTTCCATTCAGGCGAATAGCCCCACTTAATAATACTGATGTTAAAAATGACAGATTCGAGCATGTTCTGCCAAGGTTAGTCTGTTTAGAGCAAACTGGTTTTGCAAAGGACAGACATTCCACTGACAACATGTTGAGTCTTCCAAATGGGCTGGGAACTTCAGGGAGTTAGACTGATGGACCTTCCTCGCCTTCTCTCTTTCAGGTGGAGTTATCTCCCTTAAAAGGTGAACTGCAAAGGTTTTATCAAAAGAAGAAAGACACACTCACAAACCAAACATGCTGGTTTAAGAGCTAATAAAGGAAAATACATACATGAATTCTATTCATGGGACAAACCTGTGATTATTACTAAATCCTTAAGATTACTGTTATTTTTAGATAAAGATTTTTTGACATCTCACAAAGGATAAAATTACATTTAGGAATCAGGCTGGAAAGGCTATCTCTATCTCCTCAAATGTATCTTCTTCAGGGTAGAACACAGGCGGCACAAAATCAAATATACTTAGACAAATTAAGTAAAAATGTTTTCAGTCCTTGTAAACTTCAAAGCTTAAAAAAATACAGGAAAACAAAAAAAATGTTGAAATAGAAAGTTTAACAATGGAAAAGAAAAGGCCGGTTCTATATTTCTTTGATTTCTGGTAATCTTTCATTTTCATCTGTTATGTTCAATTTTTTGTTCCACATATTATTTAGAGAAAACCACTATCAGGAAAGCACCTAAGACTGAGGAAGCAGCAACAGAAATGCCTATTATACCTATCCACAAAAGAACCAAAACACTCATTTAAATTCATCATGTAAAGAAACTATGTCAGTGTCAACTCAAAAGTATGTTAAAAACATCTTTAGAAAAATCTTTTTAAGAAGTTAACAGGGCTGGGGATGTGGCTCAAGCGGTATCGCGCTCACCTGGCATGCGCAGGGCGCTGGGTTCGATCCTCAGCACCACATACAAATAAAATAAAGATGTGTGTCCACTGAAAACTAAAAAATAAATATTAAAAAAATTCTCTCTCTCTCTCTCTCTAAAAGAAAAAAATATATATATATAAAAAAAAAACTCAACAAAGGGGCTGGGGTTGTGGCTCAGTGGTAGAGCACTTGCCTCGCATGTATGGGGCACACTGGGATCAATACTTAGCACCACATAAATAAATAAAGTAAAGGTATTGTATCCAACTTTAAAAAAAAAAAAAAAGAAGAAGAAGAAGAAGTAGAAGTAGTAGTAGTAGTAGTAGTAGTAGTCAACAAAGTCCCGAGCAGTGGCATACATTGTAATCCTGTCTGAGCCCAGGAGGCCCAGACAGGAAGACTACAAGTTCAAGTTCAGCCTTAGCAATTTAATGAGGCCCTAAACAACTTAGTGAAACCCTGTTTCAAAATGAAAATAAAAAGGGCTAGGGATGTAGTTCAAAGGTGAATTCCTCCTGGGTTAAATTTCTAGTAGCCCTTCAGCCCCCATAAAAAAAGAAGTAAGTAAGAATACCATTTGGAGTCAGCTTGTTTTTAGAAAAGGGTATGTACAATGGAAAAATCTGAGATTAAGGATTTTGGTACTTTCTATAATCCTGTACTTTTTACTTAAACTAACCCTTACTGAGTTAACAGACTAGAGAACAAGGAGCTGGGCCATTTTACTAAGCTTCTTGAAGGTTAGCCATTTCTTCAACTCTTCTCCATCTATACATACTCAAAAAAGCTAATACTAAGCTCATCAAAACAAACAACAACAACAAAAACTTACAAAAAAAAAAAAAACCTGAATGACTCTAACCATAAAACTTTATAAGTAAAATAAGAAAAAAAGTCAATGTTGATCAAGATATGCTGTTTTGGTTAGAAACACCTGAAGAACTCATTTCCACAAAATCTTCTGAAGGGCCACTATATCTTCCAGGAACACAGAATATTTAAAACAGAACATCTGGAATTTAGTTAGCCTCAGATGATCCACAAATAGCAAACTACTTCTGTCCATGACAGATAGGCACAGTTTTCTGTATAGGGCCAGATAGTAAATACTTTGGGCTTTGCGAGCCATGCAGTCTCTGTTGCAGCTACTCAACTCTACCATGATAGCATGAAAGCAGCCATAGGCAACACATATAAACTTTATTTATAAAAACAGGCAACAGGCTGAATTTGACCCACAGGCTAGTTTGCTGATCCCTGGTATATGGTAAGAGTTCAATGTACTTGCTTTACAAAACCTGCCCTTGGATTAATATTATAAAAGATAAAGATATAATGCTGACTTAGGAGAAAGAAAGCATACCACAATACTTACTTTGTGAATATTCTTCTCCCATCTGTGGTGGATACTCCTCATCCCAATCAACTACATCATCATCTGTAAGCACCACTATATGGCATTCTCGTTCCCCACTCTGAGCACTAGCTACCATAAGAGGGAGGATCATTTCTTCCAAATAAAATTCAAATTGTCTACGAGCACCATCATTTGATAACTCATGCATCAGGGCACCTGAAATGAAACCCACAATAGTATCTTGATTTTTTGGATGACTGATAAGAAAAAGAAGCAAAACACAAATAAAACACCAGAATAGATCAGCAAGTACTTTGGAACCCTTCAGATAATATATTAGTTTTTAAAAAGTTCATATAGAAAATGGAAGAAAAGGTAGCTAACAAAAGAGAACAACCACATTCATTAGATGAAGGATGAGGGAGCAAGTGAGAGAATGATAAGCAGAAAGCTAAAAGGTTGTCTAAGAGCCAAAAGAAGGGTCAAAAAGAAATGGATGACTGATCAGTACAACTTAGAGGAAATGTTTTAAAGACAGGGATAAAAGAAACACCAATAAACTCAATATTGTTCCACATCTTCTAGCCAATTCAACATGACAAAAACAAAAAACTATTACTTATGACAGGGTCAATTACTAAGAATACATGAGATCAACTGAAAGACTATTAGCAACTAACTGAGTGGCTCAATACAAATGTATGAAATTTAGTAACTTTCATATATGTTAGTGTTTTAAAAATGTAAATGTATTTTACATATAACAAAAACATCAAAGAATAAACTTAATAAAATTATAGCATAAACTATATGAAGAAAATAATAAAACTATCAAAAGGACCTAAAAGTATAAATAAATGAACAGAGATCATTTGGAATAGGAGTTAATACAGTAAATATGTTAATTCTTTAAAAAATTAACTTCAGAGAATTCTAAAGGAAAACATAATTTTTAAAATATCCAGAATAGACATGAGTATGTTTGAGCCTGACAATTATAATATAGATAAAGGGAAAGACTAAAGATACCATAATAGGGTTCTGAAAAATGCAAGAGAGGGGCTGGGGTAATGGCTTAGCGGTAGAGCGCTTGCCTAGCATGTTTGACGCCTTGGGTTCAATCCTCAACACCCTGTAAAAAAATAAATAAAATAAAGGTATTGTATCCAACTACAACTAAAAAATAAATATTTTTTTAAAAAATGCAAGAGAGGGGTTGGGGTTTTGGCTCAGTGGTAGCTTGCCTAGCATGTGTGAGGCACTGGGTTCTATTCTCGGCACTGCATATAAATAAATAAAGCCTATTAACAACTAAAAAAAAAATGCAAGAGATAATAAAACCCTTATGAATTCAGCAAATAAGTTTATTAAGTCCTCACTATGTTCCAGGCACTACGAACACGAAGTCAAAAAGGTGTAGGCTCTGTTCTCAAATTCAAACTAGTCTATTGCCACAAACGAAAAACAGAGAGTGAAGGCTGCAGAAAAAGGGAGCAAGATAAGGAGAGAAAGGATAAGCAAATTCCATCTCTGCATCTCAATGACTCAAGACAGTCTCTGCTTCTGATCTCCCTTTTGCAATAGGCTCGGACAGGACTAGGTATGTAGTTTGGTGATGATAGAGTGCATATGCACACATACACAAAGGGCTTGGATGTAACTTCAGTGTTTTAGTCTTTGGTTGAAATCCCATTGCCTTCTATATGATAATAATGCCTTTCTTCTTGCGCTTACTGAATTGGTACCTTATTCAGACTTTAAATTTCATTTTACATCTTTTTATCAACCAAGGACATGGTATTTTTAAATTTCTTTTAGCCCTACGTCTTCAACACTTTTCCTAAAAAGTTCATATAGAGTTCAACTCTGGTTCTCAAAGCTTCTGGATGATAGTGCTTGCCTAGAAAGAGAATATGAACTCTGATGCCCGGTCAGAAGCTACCAATTACCATAGATTTTCTATGGTCTATGGTTAGTTCTAAGACAGAAGACTGAGAAGTCAGCTCCTCTCTGTACCAACTTTCTTGCCTCTAAATATGCCATTTCTTCTGCCTAGAACAAACTTCCTCTCCTTTATTCTCCGACAAGCTTCTCTAATCACCATTATTTGAGTTAGGTACAGCCTCTATGGGCTCACTTAGCACCCTATTTTTTCTCTAATGTCAATTGATTTGTTGGTCTTCTATACTACACTATAAGCAGGCATTTTTTTTTTTAATTGTTGCCTCTTATGTACCTAGTACCTGGTGTAAAGTGAGTACTCAATAAAAACACAGAATGAATAACTAATTACTATACAAGCATTAAACAAGTTATTAAAGGATATTTACTAATATTAACATTCACAATAAGTTCCATGTGGAAATATTATAGTATGTACAATATAATCTGTTAATATTTCTTCTCCTTATTTTCTATTCTTGATGTCCTTTTTCTTAAAAACAAACTCTTACTTAATATTGTATTTCAGGACTATTCATTTAATCTTCCCAGCAACTGTGTCAATTCAAATGTTTCCATTTAAAGAAGAGAGAACTAAGAAAGAAAATTTTAAGTAACTTCTTAAGAAACCCAAGTCTCTCTATTCAATGAACAGTCAGTACCTGTATAAATTCTTAAGAGACAAGCCTAGATATTTTAGTGCAAAGAACCATCCTAAATATTCAGCAAAGACACATATTCGCAGAAAAAAATTTTACATTCAGATCTACATCTGCAGTATTCTTTTACATTTTTACAAGACCACTTCTAATCTCTTCAAGTCCTATAGTTTTATTTTTAAAATAAGGTCTTTGAGGACCTCTAAATATTTAGTAACACGTTAGAGTGATCTAGAAACAACTATATTATTTAAAAGCTATAAGTCTAGGAGAAACACATTACATATTTTTTTATTAAAAAAATAAAAAAAAATTTTTTTTTGCAGGGGTACCAGGGATTGAACCCAAGGGCACTTAACCACTGAGCCATATCCCCAGCCTGTTTTATTTTTTATTTAAACAGGGTCTTGCTAACTTGCTCAGAGCCTCTCCAAGTTTCTGAGGCTGGTCTTGAACTTGTGATCTTCCTCTGACCGGTGGGATTATAGGCGTGCACCACAACACCTGGCTTACAAAATGATTCCTATCTTTAATTTCATAACAAATAAAAGATACTTAATGGTGATGATAAAATAAACTATGTCCAACAGACTGCATAATTAAAATTCATACAATCTGTAAGAAATTCTAATGCTTATTTTTTATTCAGATGTCACTGAGATTCAACATCTAATCATGAAGGTTAATTAAAATGATCCCATGAATAATAAAAGACATAAATCTTGAAATTAAGGAATTATAATGCTCATGATTTCAACTAAAACCATTTTTTGAGACATGAAGAAATAATAACTTTGTTCAAATTTATAACTGTATGCTCCAACTATCCAACTACTTGACTGTATCATTTGTAGAAAAATGGATTCAGAGACAGACCTATTTCTTTATCCTACCTATCAATATTTTTATGGAGACTAAAGAAAGTTTGGCAAAAATAATACCATACTTAGGACATATTTAAGTATATAAATATAAATATTTAAAGTAGGTGCCTTGAAAGTTTATCCTTCATAGAGGTTTAGACACATGAGTCTCTGAGAAGGTATAATAATACCACCCTGCCAAGTAGGGCTGAGCTTAGGTAATGAAATAAAGAGAATCGTATATATGGGGCTAGTACAAGGCTATAAACCACATGCACAAAGCTTTTTAAATAGCTCCCCAACTGCATACAGAAAAAAAGTTAACAGCATTAGTTTGGTATTTAAAGACCTTCCAAAATCTGGCTCATCTATTTACTCCCCCATCTCCTGATCCTAATATAAAGTTTCCCTTCAACTAGGTTATTCCCAAAATACACTTGTTATGTCTTTACTTAAAAAACTCAAGCTCTTGGATAAACTTCCTGACTCTAAACTATTCCTATTCATTCCTGTCTCCTCTGAACTCTTCCCAAGCCCCTCTAACCCATGACTTCCCCCTTCTGAAATTTCTCTGACCACTTAAAATCCAAGGAAAAATTGATACTTCTATACACTATTTTAACTTTTTTAATGTATGTCACCTCTTTTCTCAGGCACAGTGTAACAACAGGTGATACAGAGATGATCACCAATCAAGAGTTGGGATCCCAAGTTCTAAGGCCCTGCTCGGAGACTGTTTGAAGTTCCTCGATAAATTTACTTTAACATTACATATACCTGAAGTATAGGGATTCGATCTATGATTTGTAGTAACAAGTACTGTTTATGCAAATTATTCATAATTTCCACAGTACTCAGGATATTTCTCATATAGTAATACAAAAAATTATAAACTTAGATAATGTGATCTGAGGAACGAAGCCAAATCACACTTGACCAAACCAAGGCTCCCAAACTATCAAGGGGGAAATCTAGGAAAGTTCATTTTTAAAAAAATTAAATTATTAAAGTTGAAAAAAATTCTGGAAAGTTATACAAAGATATCATCCAGAACTCTGCAGACTTCCATAAATAATCTTCATTTGAAGCCAAAATGCTTTATAATTCAATTAAACAAATATTGAAAGTCTAACTAAGTAAACTGCAAACTTTCAGACTTTGCATGTCAATCTAAAATAATTCTACAAATCACTTACACAGAAAACATCATACTTACTGAGATCTCTACATTTAATAGTACTATATTCAAAAGAAATACAAAGATAATCACAAGCTTCTCTCAGCTCAGGAATAGATATGCCATCAGGACAACGGATTATTCCTGTCTTATAGTAATCCTGAAAAAAAGAAAAAGTAAAAAAAAAAAGAATAAAATATATGGAGCACAAAATAGCCAAAACTTGTTAAGGGTGGGCTGTTGGTAGCATTTTCAAAAACAGTGGAGTCTGGTATTTCTTTATTATGGAATTTTTAAAGCCATGTGGGACCTTGGTTCACCACACAATTCATTTTTTATTTTACCCATTTTTTAGGTAAAAATTATCTAGTCATACAATTACCCAATAGCAGATGTCTGTCAGATATTAGAACCTAGGTCTCACCATTATCTTATTCATCTCTACTTTTTACTATATCTTACCAGTTCATATGTATTTTCCTCTTGGTACTTACTTTTTTTATATACAACTACCATAAAATTTTAAACTCTTTGTAAAAAGTAAGGAAATTACCTTAAATAATTACTAGAAAATTGAACAAAATTTAGGGGTTTTAGTTAAGAACTGCAAGGTCTTATCCAAGTATTAATGTATATAAAACAAAGTGCACAATTAGAGAGTCTTCTAAATAATATCCTTTGATGTTTCCATATTATTACAAACAATACCAATTATCTCCAAAATCTACTTTAAAAGTTGTTAGGTGTTAGGCACTGGAACAGATAAGTTATTCTACAGCTGTGATAAAAAAATTCTTAATGCCAACTTTATAGCAGGTCAAATGTAAGTTTAGAGAGCTGAAAATGAACCTCCCCTCCAAATTAAGACTTATCTCAAGATTTCTGAGGTTCAGAAGCACAATAACTAGTAACATAATTTCTAAAGTTGCTGTGTCAATAGAAGCAAAATATCTTCTGGTACTTGTCCAAGTACCAATAACCTGATCAAGAATGTTAGCATTTTATCACAGGATCCTCCCTTCCCTTTTCCCCCAAAATTATGTAAGGAAATTATATTTTACAAAGTGTTACACTTTATAAATCAAATCTTTATCAATAAATTGAAATTATAAGTAGGACTCTATGTTAAATTTAAATATTCCTCAAAACAAAGGTTAAAACATAAAAAAAGAAAAAAAGGTTTAAAACAAAAGATGCTAACAAATACATTTTGGAGATAATTTTTATACATTTGTATGTTTACACATTGTTAGTTTGGGGCAATAAATATGATATTTCAAATGCCATACTCATTCTCAGCAAAATAACTGACTTGCCATATTTAATTTAAGAGGGAATAAATAGTGTGACTCCAGAAACATCAGTACTGAATACTTAAAAAACTGCCTATGTACACCTAAAAGATAAATCTTCCTATTTTTATCTTCCTATGGTCATAAAATTTTTTACATTCTGTTCATGTGCTAAAGAAAACTTGAATTAGGTAGTATTTAAGAAAAACAATATATACTTTTCAAAGAGATATCCAAATAGAACTTTATTTCCATTATTTCCAATCTAAATACCTGCTGAGGAGGGGTCTTATGACGAAGTCAATACATATTAAAAACAAATACTCACCAGAATAGCTCGAAATACAGTGGAACCAATTCCTTCTGCCACTTCATACTCTCCCTTCTCATTGGGACGTGTAAAGTTATGTTCTCGGCCAGATCCAAACATCCTATCATAGTGAATAATTAAAAAGCGTGCCAATAGGATACTTAATTCAAAAAGGAAAATCAATTTCATGAACAAAAATGAAATAACATTATAACTTAAGCATTAAATTATTCAACAATTTATTATCAGCAATTTATTCTGGCAAACTTTACATGAAGGTAATATGAAAACTATTTTGACCTGGGGTGCTGGGGACATAGCTCAGTGGTAGAGTGCTTATACAAGGTTCTGGGTTCAATCCTTGGCAACACACACACACACACACAAAATGACAGGAATCAATAGTAAAAAAATTCCCTGTAAAAATAAAATTCCATGATAAAATTCAAAAGCTAAAGAACTTTCCAACTCCTTCTCAGGAGGAAAAATCCCCAAACAATTATTTTATGAGAAAAGGTAATTTTTATGCCCCAGAAAGAAAAAAGAAACAATGTTTTTCCTTATACAGCTGTTTTCATTGTAAAGCTGGTGCTATAATGTAGCACATACAACAAGCTAAACTGGGAAAAGTGAATGTGAAGGCAAGCTGGGTTATTTATCAATCTTTCTTTAAGAGATCCAACTCATTCTTAGACTAGCATCTACAATAGAAAAGTAAGCAATCAAATGCTAGGATAGGCAAGAATGGAGAAATGAGGAAGAGAATGGAAAGTTTAAATGAGTATAAGGCTCTTAATATTGTTTTTATAAAGAAAAATAGAATGGATTTATGTTTTTTCAAGTCACATTGTTCACCTGTTAACAGTATCTATTTAGAAAAGACAATTTGCAAAATATGTCCTTTGCGATGAAAAATTTAATGTAGTACTCTTAAGAAAACTTAAAAATCATGATTAAAGAAAAGTCGAACCTCTGAATTCAATGGTACCACTATCCCCAATGTAAACATGGTTGATCCTAAGTGTTTTTATTCAATAGTTTCCTAATTTAAGTGGCTTCCTCTTTTGTTGTAACATAGAAATCCAGGGAGAACAAAGCTTTTTATTTCAAAGTTTCCAAAAGAATGCCAACTGCTTTCCAGTTCCCATGAATATTAATTTTCATCCCCAAAGAAATGCTTTAGTCAACTGACATGAAAAGAAGCTTTCACTGATTTAACAAAAAAAAAAAAAAAAGTCTTTCAAGAATCAAATGTCATAGAATTTTCTCAAATGCTGGAACTTTTTACAAAACGGGAAAGCTATTCTTTTCAAATCAGTAAGAACACTTAAAATCTTAAACCTGCTAAAGCAAAATTTTAAATATCTCTTTTTACCGTTTTACATTTTATGTAAAAATAAAAGTTTAATTAATAACGTCATCTTCCTCATAGCTTCCATTAATGGTGTTTCCCTATGATACTAGAAATACATAAAGGTATTTTTTCCTCATGGGTATAAAGTCTAGTGTCAATAAAGAGAAAACATTTAGCTACTCAAATGTACACAATGTCACAATGCCAGCATTTATTCTATATTCTGAGACACTAACAGATCACATAAGTAGACTAGAAAAATACATGGTTTCAGCACATGTAAACTTCTATTTCACTCATATACCCCTTTATTTTAATTTTTGACAATATAATTGATTTTACTTCAAAAAGCATTTGATGCTCACTTTGGACATCTCCAAAATGAAGTCCATATTGTTCATATCTTAGGTTAAGGTTCCCATAATTACAAACTTTAATCTGTTATTCTGTACCAGCACAAATTAGAAGATAACTATTAAGTCCTTCATTCTACTAAGAATACTTTTTAATAGAATTCCCCACCACCACCCCCCGCCAAGTACCTACAGCAAATTGACAATTCATGCTGACTTTTTCTTTAAAAAATGCTGATATCTCCTCTACTTGGTAGTTGAATCTGGGAACTTAGTGCAGGAAGCACTGCTAAAATCACCTGGTTAGATTCAATCCGTGGTCTTAATCTGTAACAGTCTTTTAGTATCCTCACTTTAATAATTAATATGTTTACTATTTCTATTGGTACTACAAAGAACTTTAGAAATAAAGCCAAATTTGAGCTTTACTCTAGCATGTTCTGGCTACTTTAACTTGGACAATAAAAAAAAAAAACATAGAAAGCCAAGGATCCAATATTCTTACAAGTCAATAAGCACACACTGAAAGTTAGTAAAAAATTAATAAGAATACCAATTTAAGCTGTTGTAATTACTGAAAGAGATAACACTATTCTGAGAACATAAAGCATAAACTTTGAAATCTCACTATTAATAAGGGTACTCTAAAACCAACAATTTATGTCACAACCTCCAAATTTATAGTTCTTCCATCCATAAAATGGGAATGCTACACTCCAACAGAGAATTACTGTAAAATTTAAATGGAAAACTAAAATAATGGCTATGAAAGTACTTTATAATTAGTAATATAAAGAACAAAAATACAAACCTGCCCAACATTGTATTTGGCTGTGCAGTAAAAATGGAAGGGTCTACAACAAATCTAGTGTTATCCACTATTAGTGTCACTCGTTCTGATGTCCTTACATTCCGAGCTCCTTCTTTTGCATTTTCATATACAAACACCATCTCCCCAGATGTCTTACAGCTACCATCTGAACTTGACTGACTACTGTTTCTGCTGCTATTCCCAGCACTGCTAATGGAACCATTTGGGGATGCTTTTTGAGGACGAGGACTGCTTGGACGAGAGGAACTATGATCTTTTTCTCGTTCTGAAATAAAGAAATTAAACAGAGTTATGCCAATTGTCTACAAAAAATTCAAGATCTGTACAATCTTTTAAAGTGTTTGATAAGTTGTTTTAAATCATAACATTTTTAAAATTTCAAATAACATTTTCAAAGGATATAATAAACATTCATTTACTTCACAGGAGTAAAAATAAACCATCAAAATGTTTTCTAAAATCTTTATTTATAGACCTTTAAAAGGTATGTATTACTGACTAATGTTGACCCAGAAAAATATCAAAATTAAGGTAAATTTCATATTATTACTCCACTTAAAAATACATAGAAAGCCAAGGATCCAATATTCTTAGAAGTCAATAAGCACACACACTGAAAGTTAGTAAAAAATTAATAAGAATACCAACTTAAGCTGTTCTAATTACTGAAAGAGATAACACTATTCTGAGAACATAAAGCATAAACTTTGAAATCTCAGTGTTAATAAGGGCACTCTAAAACCAACAATTTATGTCACAAAACAAAAATATAAAACAATATTTTATATTTCATATAAAATATAAAAAACTCACTAAGGACAGCAAGAAGCATTTATTTTTTCAAACGATTTTCAATGTCTATCAAATAAAGTGGCCTTAGCAGCTGATGATATAGGGCTTTCTTCTCATTTGTACTTCTGTTGAATAAAGCAGTACTACAAATTTTATAAGATGCATAAATATCATCTATTGTTAGTAGAAAATATTACTAAAATTCAGGAAATTTTCTTTAGATGCTCCAATATTATATAAGGGAAAATAAAAACTAAGATTTTATTAGAAGTTCTATTTAGAGGCTACATCACTAAACTTTAAAGGTGACCTAAAAATGTACCTCCATCTCGTCAGTTTCATCAGCTTTTGCCAAATTCCTCTATGACTCAGGCTACTTAGAACACTCTGTACAGCACTGCTGATTATATAATTAGGTTTGCTATATCTCTAGAGATACTCTCACACCTCCCTTTTATTTTCTGTTTCCACAATGCTGAAAGCATCCCAAAAGCAAAATTTGTTAAAGTAATAAAACAATTTATTATAGTCTGCTATCCTGCTCTCATACATGGAATTCTGCATGCAACAAACTGTCAATTCATATTTATATTTGTTAATTTTAGCTTATAAGTAATAGTCTGTCTCCAAGGACCCATTTAGATACTGATAATTTCCCGTATAATTAGACACCAACATAAATTATTTGATTTTAAACAGACTGTCACAAACTATTTCATACAGTTACAGTATTTTCTGCATGTGTGCTGGGGAAAGAACCTAGGACCTTGCACATTCTGAGCTGGTGCTCTACTCAAATATGTTTCTCCACTTCAGGTACTAGGAATTGAACTTAGGGTCCCATTCTCTAGGGGATATAGCCCATTCTCTAGGCTATATCCCCAACCCATAGTCAAAATATTTGATTTGTCCCTTCCCTAGGGGAAAATGAAAACCAGCAAGCTCATGTTGGTTAAGTACACCTGCTTCAGACTGGTACCTTACAATCACACAATGTATTTACCTGTAAGAATAATGTTCATTTATAGTAATGAGTGGGAAGGACGAAAAAGACCTGAACTAGTTACTAGGAATGTAAAACACTTCACACTTTCCTTTCATCTTCTTTTTTTATTACTAAATTTGAAACACTGTCAAAAGTCAGAAAAAAATAACTCCATCAGAATTATTCTTTCCCTTTATTTGTTAGTATGATTAATCAGATATTCTTGTCAATAATTTACAACTATTTTATTGTAAACCACTGCTGTTTCTTGTAAGATAAAAATTAACTTGAATTTTTGCAAAATCTACATCTCAGTTTCAAAGCCTTTTCAAATTACTTTTTATAAGACTGTCCCAGACTCTTAAAACAAACTCACCTTTAAGTTACATCTGATAAGCTATTTTCTCATAGCAAGAATCAAGCTCAGCTAAAATAGAAACAAATGAATAGAAGCAGCTAGCTAATTTTACTCTTATGTATTAGGCACAATTCAATTTCACTGCTACTTTAAAAAGGTAAATACATGTTTTTAAGAACTGCTAAGAAGATTGGATGATTTTTACATACCAACATGATGCTGCCGTGTTGGAGAAGTAACATTTCTAATACAAGGAGTGAGCTGAGACTCTGCTCTTTCATGAGATGAATCTCGTGATCTGTCACTTGACCTTCGTCTATCTCTTGATCTTTCATGTCCACCACTAGCACCATGCAGACTCATTTTGGTGTGGTCAACTCCTCCTTTAGCCACACGTGAGGGAGTACTGATAAGTTAGAAAAGAAAATTGACCATAAAAGCAAAAAAAAAAAAAATTGCAGAAAATGCTTAAGAGAATATAATTTACAAGTAGCCATTAATATTTTAAGTGCAAAAATCAAAAGCTATTTTCCAATTGTGAAATCTAATTTAACCTCAAACCTGCAGGATGTATAAACTCCAGAATATTGTGTGTAGTGATCACATAATTAAACAATTTTTTATAGATGAGAAAACTACTTAGAAAGGTCAACTGACTTTTGAGTTAGAAGTAGAACTAATAATAGTAGTAAGTCACCCAGATAATTTAAATATTATTCTCACGTTCTTTCGATTTGTTTGTGAGAAAAAGGGATGAAGAGCATCAGCTTCTGACACTCTTTAAAAAAAACCAAAGGTGTGGGGCAAAGTAACCACCTGTCAAATAAAATAAGTCATCAAATACTAATTTCAAGTAACTCACTTTGAGATATCTTTCAAACACTATGATTAGAAAAATGTTTTGAAAAGCATTTCTCTGAAAAATTTAACTATATTAATTATATAAAATCATAGAATTTTTAAAATTTTAAAACCTCTTTATACAGAAGTACATCTATACCAGACAAAAACTGAAACTGTTAACTAAAATAGTTATCAGAGTTCATTCACACAATCATCTGTTAAATTATATGTACTACAGGCACAATCCTATGTTAAATGCCAATAGAAACAATAGCTTCCTCTGGGGCTTACAATCTAAGTTTAGTGGTAATATGTAAATATGTAAAATTTAATCAATTCAAAAGTTACCCCAACTTCTAAATGTAAATGTACCATATAAATCCCAAATATAAAACTACTAGAGGAAAGACAATAAATGCTTTAGGGTCTCAAAGGAAAAAGTCATTGCTGTAGATTTGAGTTAGTCACTAGGTATACCAGGCCCTGATAAACAGATAATATTTTAATAATCAGAATGTAATACGGGTAATAAAAATGAAAGAACCAGACATAGGGTCATTTGGAAATTTGTCATATTATGATAGTTTTAAAATATTGAGGTATATTTAAGAAACAGAAGTAATTTCATGGTTTTAGAGTAATACTTAGAATTAAAATTGTCCTTTAATTCTATAGTTGCTTGACATTTAGTATTACTTAATACTCTCAAAACTTAGGCTCCTCATCTATAAAATGTAGATCCTATTCACTTTCTAATGCTAATAGGAAGATCAAAGTGTAGTGAGTAGACCAGCAAGGTACCTGCCATGATATAATCACCTCTCAAATGCTAATTTGTTTGGTTATAAAAGATGAGCAAAATAAAGTTCAAAATTGCAAGATTTCTTAGGTCACACAGTATTTAGTAAATACTAATAGCACTATAACCTAAGCCTTTGATTCGTTCCAGCACCCCCTCCATATTATACTATTTCTTCCACGCCAAAATCACACTAGTTAAAACTTTAATCTTCTTATATATTCAGAAAGTTTTTTAAATACTTCAGTGTTTCAGGGTCATTTCTTGTTGATTTGTGAACTATAACATTTTTCATTATTTTAGTGGTTTGTAGTATGAAAATCAATTATCATCCTGCTATAACACTGATTACAAGCATAGGAGATAGGGCTGACTTATTTACCGTGCAGGTTACTTCTAGGCAACTCTATGGAGTTCTCTCTCATAGATCTAAAGGAAAAAAAAAAATCTACTCCTCCTTTCTTTCTAGAGAAAACAAAAATACTAGGAAAAAATGTTTTTCTTCAAATGGAACAAACCAAAAGATTCTGCCACATTTGTGTTTAACACTGGAATTTCCAGCTCACTTTCTAAAGTATGAAAAAGAAATGAAATCAATGGCAATAGAAGCGAAGTGTATTTTGAAAAAAAAAAAAAAAACTCTTCAAATTATTCTAACTGCTAAGTTTTAATCACTTTCAACTAAGAAAGCATATTTCCTAAATGTGAGTCTGACAATTTAATAGACAAGATACCCAGACAATTATGGCTAGGGCAAATGTAGGCTAAATGTTTAGAATAAGTAAGGTCTAGTAAACTAATTAACTGAAGAGCACTTCCACCAGACATCTTTGTAGCTAAAAGATGCTGCTAAGCATTCTGCTGAAATACTGACTTCTTTCTACTGCTTAGATCTTAGATGAATGCAAACGTTGTCATAATACACTTCCATCTTTTGTTTTCATTCCCAAATAGAATATACTCTGAACTAGTCCTTCAAAACCAGATGTCACAGAAGACTAATTATGCCCTCCTCTAATTAAATAATTTTAGATCAGGAGAGTACTCTAAAGGCAAAATAATTAATATGTGAAAAAGAAAAATGAGGACAAGCAAGTTTAAAGGGGACAGCTCTGCTTCAGGCTGCATTTAAGAGAGTTTGAGACATGTGAATTGAGTACAGGTAAGGAAATGAAAAGTGGTTCATCACCAACATCTGCTTCTAGCCAAGACAGAACAACAAGATGATATTTACTCTTCTGTCTGAGACAACTCCAACAGAGAGAACATATTAAACAATGATTTGCAAAACAGTACATCAGGCAATGAAGGGTGGTAATCCCCTGAAAGAAAGCAAATGAAATAAGACTAGCAATTATCCACACTTAGTATCTTTAGAGTTTCCAGAATAAACTGAGAGAAAAACTAAGCAAAACCAGGGAAACTCTGAGTTAAAGATATGGAACTAAGCTGTTGAGATAATAACAGGTGGCTAGAAATCCCCCCCAAAAACAAATGCCGAATGTCTTCTCTGATATAAAGGGAGTGACTCAAGATGGAGTAGGGAGGAAGAGCATTAGAAGATGATTACCTCTAGATAGGGAAGAGAGATGGGAGGGAAAGGGAGGGAGAATGGGAATTGCATGGAAGATGGAAGGAGACCCTCATCGTTATACAAAATACATGTATAATAATGTGAGGGAAAAAAAAAAGAAGTGTGTCACATTAGATTGGGTAGAGAGAAGTGATGGGAGGGGAGGGAAGGGGGAAAGGAAGGACAGCAGAATAGACATTATTACTGCTGTGTGTATACAGGTGACTGCGTGACCAATGTGATTCTGCAACCTGTACACTCAGAAAAATGAGAAATTATATCCCATCTGATTCAAATGTATGAATGTCAAGGTCATTGTACTGTCATGTGTAACTTATTAAAACAAATTTAAAAAAAATAATAGTGGCTAGAGTTCTCAAAAAAGAATACTAGAGAGGGGAGAGCAGAAGAGAGGGAAAACCTTGGAGATCTACAGAATTCTCCTTGAGTACTGAGTTGAATACTAGTCAGAACATACATGTGAGAAAAGGACCAGAGGCCAGGAAAAGATAAAGAATTAGAAGAAAAAATGTCCAGCACTCATGAAGGACCAGGACTTGTCCCCACAAGTCAGACTTAAGAACCTCATAATTTATAAGGAATTAGAGAAAGAATCAGTAAAGTCTTACTTCTGAAATGAGAAATAATTAAACCTAGACTGAGCACTGATCCAGTCACCCTTCAAGTTAACAGCAAGACTAGAAGAACCCAGCTGCTTCCAAACAAATGAATACTAAACAAAGCTCAAGAATATTTATAAAAATAAGAAATATCAAACACCCAAAGAAGGTAAAATTCACAATGTACAGTATCCAAACAAAAATTAGAAGTCATGCAAAGAAGCTAGAATACATAACCGATAATTAAGAGATAAGAGAAATCAAACCAGAACTGACATGTTAGAATTAGAAATAAAGGCATTGAAAGTGTCATTATAACCATATTTTTCCAAAAAGTTAAGAGAAATCGAAGATTTTTTTCAAAGACACAAATATCAAACTTCCAGTGATAAAAATGACAAAATCTGAGATGAAAAATACACCTAATAGAATTCATGGCAGACACACATTATAAAAGAAAGGTAATAGGAAACACCCAAAATGAAACAAAGAGAAAACAGGAAAGTAAATAAACAGATCATGAGTATGCTGTGGGTCAACTTCAAGTGGCCTACAGATCTAAATGGAATCCATAAAAGAACAGAAGTGGGAAAAGAAAAGGGAGAAGAAATAATATCTGAACTTTTCCCAAATGAAAATTTAACAACAATAGAAGCAATATGCACAACAAATTCCACCCATACTTTGAAGACAAAAAAATAAGAATAACAATATTCTGTCAACCTAATTTTCTACACTGAGCAAATTATTTTACTCCTTTTCAAAAATAAAAGGGAAATATAGACTTTCAGTTAAAAGAGACAAATTCATCATGAGTAGACTTGAACTATAAGAACAGTTAAAAGGAAATTTTCTTAGAATAAAAATATTTGTAGATCCAATAATATGTATCTACACAGAAATGGAGAACAATGGAAATAATTGTGTGGGAAAATAAAACTTTTTCCTTACTGTTTAAATCTTAGAAGATTAGTCTAAACAATAATTGTAACTATATAATGTGGAGTTTATTGCATATACATATAATTTCAAGAGAACAAAGTTTGGGAAAAAAGAAATAGAAAACACTGTTGGAAGCCTTGTGTACTACACTACAAATAGTACAATATTACCCCAAGGCAGACTGACTAAAGATGTATACTATAAACTAAAGCAACCAGTAATAAAACAAAACAAAGAAATACAGTTAACATGCCAACAATGGAGATAAAATAAAATCCTTTTTTAAAAGATTCAGTTATTCCAAACGAAGACAAAGAAAGAAAAAAAAAGGAATACCAATGAAGGAAGAGGAAGGGAGGAGTACAACAGGGAAAAACAGCAAACAATTATCAAGATAACAGACTAAACTATGTTAATAATCACATAATACACAAAGTAAGCCATGTAAATATAACTGGTCTAAGCCATAAAAGCTAAGAGATTATCTGAATGGATAAAAAAGCCAGACCCAACTATATACTGCCTACAGGAAATATACTTTAAATATAAAGGTACCAAAAGGTTCAATATGAAAGGTATGCTATGCTAGCACTAATCCAAAGAGAGCAAAAGTAGCCATTCATTAGCAA